GCAAGGATGAAACCAATGCCCACAGCAGCTCTCGGCCCCCCGCCACGTGTGAAGGTGAATGTATCCTGTCAGGGGTGTGAGTTGGGCGTGTTTCGAGTTGCATTGTGTCGCTCCGTAGGTCGTTGTAATTGTGTCGCTCTTGATTGGTACCATGTAGATGTAGCACGCGTCGGACTGTCTTGTGGGCTTAGCTCGGCACCGAAGAGACGAAGAGACCCGGCAATGCTGGTGCGTTCGTTGGTGGCAGTGATGCGCGCATACAAGTGTCAATCAGGTTGCCTTGGCAGGGATTGGAAACAAAGCTTGGATTGTGTCGTCGCCGACAACGAATCCTGCCGTAGGCTGAGATCGGCTATAACCCAACGACAGCAACGGTGCTACTGGCTGTCTCCCCTCCCCCTGTCGCTGTGGCCCGTCCTTCTTACTTTCCGCCCTAACGCAATCGCAACCTGCCTGAACCTCCTCAGACAAAGCCGCGACGGCATTCCAGTACTTGGCTACGATCGTGATCAGCGTTGTTCTGGTGGTGGTGGTGGTGGCGGCCTTTATGCCGGCTCCCGTTACCGGAAAGCTTGGGCTCGCCGTGGGGATCATGCTGTTCGTCTTCGCCTTGTTCGAGCTCATCGCCTTCTGCACCTATGCTGCCTACATCGAAGAACGTGCGATCATGAACCAGTCCAGTCCAATATTTGTTGCGTTGTGAAGTAATTGTCAAGTTTCGCGGGGCACAAGGCCGGCAGGCCAATGCCCTTGACACAAGAAGCAGTTTACTAGTGTTGGACGTACATGGGCTGTCCTGCTACGAGCAAGACGAAGAATAAGAATATCTCCTCCTGCAGTAGTGGATGTAGCGGTACATGCAGGGAGAGAGAAAGCTCGCGTGGACACTATTGTAGCCCTACAGGCAGTTGCTCGAGCGCTTCAAGCAATGGTAGCAAGCAAGCGACATTTGCCACAGAGAACTGACTCACGTACCCATCCGATCCATCTCGTGTCCGTGAAGGAACGAAAATTGATTTGTCCCTGCCTCCCTCCTGTTGCTCCTTACCGCGGTCGACCCCACCCAGTCGAGGATTCGTCGTATTATGTCTCCTACTACTCCGGTGTCTACTCCGTCGACTACTCCCCTGGTCCTACCCTTGCCGTGGCCGTTGTTGCTTTCATCTTTGGCTTGGTGGGCGCCATCGTGACCTGCGTTCTGCGCAACAAGGCAACGGCCGAACAAGACGGTCCTTTCAGGGCGTGCATGCCCAACGCTAGAGCGAGCGGTGCGCCTTCGGCGGCTCCCCCGGCTGCTGCTGGTGTTGCGACTGCGAGTGCGGTCCCCCAGCCAGGCGCCGCGACTGCGGGAACCAAGGTTTCTCAATATCCTGCCGTCGGGACAGTGTAGCTGCTGAAAACCTGCAAAATCTGGGGTCTTCGATAGACCCATGCTGGTATTCGGGTCAGCGTGGAAGGCATCCCGTCGTGTATTATACTGAAAACGAGAGCATGTGGGCTGCCTTGCTGGCAAAAGTGTGAGCCACATGTATGCCTCAGCCCTCCCCTCTGGGTGGGCGGCATGAGACCCCTCTCTTTCCGGGACCCTGCATGTTTTGTGTTTTTGTGTTGCAGTCGCCGCAGAAACGATGTAATACTATTTTTTACTTTTTTCGTGAAGGATGTTTCACGACGAATCTGCCTTGAGTTTTCTTTCTCGCTGCAACCACAACCCGTTCTCCTGTCAGTATCGTTATTTCGTTATTTACTAGAATAATAATGGGTCAATACCTGCGGTGCCGTGTGCCGTGTTCCTTGCTGCGATGGTGAGGGTGATGGGGTACCTTCCTGCGGCAAAGAGGGGGCTATCGAATCACCGAATCGCACGGGCGATTTGAACCCCCCTTCCCCCTGTGTTCTTGTAGTGTATGCACGTGAAGGTGTAACATCTAGAGTAGAACGACTCGTCGTGCTTTGCCATGCCTCTTGCCTCTTGCTCTTGAAGCGTTTACGCAGTAGCTTGCATTTTGGCCAGCGGCGCTTTGACGAATCGGGTGGTAGAGTCCTCTTCGCTGTGCTGTGGGCTCACCCACCCTCTGTTTTTAGGCGGGGTGGGATGGGGCAAATCTTGCGTGTCACTCGTCTGCGTTTTTTTTTTTTAATGGGCGTTGGAGGCAGGTGTGGGAAAGTGTCTATTATCGTACTTGTATTCATGGAAGTTTTTTTAGCGTCTCACGTTGCCCTTCCCCGAGCGAGATTGTTCACGTGTGTTCACGGGTAAGGTAGGAGCAAGACCTAAGTGAAGGAGGAGAATGTAACGTAGCTCTTGGTTCCAATTGGAGGCGGTTGGCTTCCACTTCGTACAAAACGGAAGCGTCGCTTGAACGGGGACGGCATTCATGTAGACAACAGCGGATGGGAGGGGTTGGCCAACATGTAGATACAGCAGGGCAGCATGATATGTTGAACGTGTTTACGAGTCGGGCGTTTTCTGGCGTGTGTGCCACCTACCTACCTGTGGGTAGCCTGGTTTTGATCGTTCCTTTCTTGTCATCCCATGGACGGCGTTCTGTTTAGAAACCGCACGCACACGGACCATGCGCGCGTTATTGAAGAACTTCCCTTCGGGCAGGGTATTATGGAGTAGTGTGTTGCCCTTGGCGGCGGGTATTGGTATGTAAGTCATCACATGTCACACCCCGTAGAACGTTCGAGGTCGTTATCTAAGTTCGTTTTTTGGCAACATTTGACAGATTGCACCCAAAAAGGACCCGATCATCCCTCTTTGAAAATCCCACAAAGTGTCAAGCCGGTCAGAGTCGTTTCAAGGCCAATTTGGAAAACCAGGATGCGGCGGGGTGGTACGAGTACGTACATGTTTAAATCATGTGGCGCAAGACGAAACGGTGACAGCACCACGTGTGTGTGCAACGCACGCGCAAGTCGAATATGTGAAAGTGTAGACAACTCTCTCTGCCAGCACACGAGGCAAATCAAGGTGGTGCTTGTCGTGCGGTCCAAGCCGCATCAACCTTGCTCCGACGTTTGTTTGCGTATGTATGACTTGCCGTTGGCTCTCGACATGCACCATTTGAAATACCTACTGTACACCGCAACACCGTACGTGCATAGCGTGAAAGTTTGGAAAATCATGGTGAACGATTCCCTGGCAGCATAAAACTACGACGGTCGAAGCGTGTATTATAGCTGTTTTTCGCCCACAGCATCACGTTATCTTGAGCGTTGTCACGGGTAGCGCGAACATGACGCTTTTGCAGCTCCGAGAGGAGATATGCCGATCCAGTTCGTTGACTGCCTGTTTCTTCCACGTTTTCGAGCAGCGATGTCCTCGTCGTTCTTTCTCCCGTTGACCAAGCAAACACAGGCAACGGTCAATCAATCCCACCCCTCCCCTTCCTGGCTTTTGGTGGACTTCCTTCTTGCAACGTTGAAACCACCGACAAGAGATTCTTACGAGAGGCTATCTCTCGCGAAAACGTCCTTTTCGGCGAGATAGGCGGGTGTTGTTGTTGTTGTTGTCTTCACATTAATACCGCTCCGGTTTCCGCTCAGTACCTTCTACTGTCCGTACTGGTACAACTGACCCGGACGCCTTCCGTGGTCACAAGCTAACTGCCCCCCATAGGGGTACACCTCTCTAAAACTAAGAACTGGAAACGAGAAAATTCCTCCCATGAACGATTTGTTTTTTCTACCCAAACGAAAAGAAGAAAAAGGAAACAACGAAGGAAAAAGGTTCATAACCGGGGTACAGGCGATCGACCCCGGTCAAAAAAGGGATAAAGGAGCGAACTACAACGAAAGAGAGAAAAAGAAACAGGAAAAAGAAAGAGAGAGAGAAAGACAACGGAAATAAAGGCAAAATACAGACCGGAGGTTACCTCGAAACGCTCCATTCTATAACCGGAACAACAACGAAAGATAGGCAATTACTAACAACGTGGCACCAAACAGGCGATGACTGACTTCCGACGACACAAAATCACTTCGGGGGCTCAGCGAGAGGGAGGGTTAGCAACACGATGGGACAGCCATCTCCGTCCTGCTCTCTCCGGCTACAGTTGCGTCTTCTGTCTGTCGACGTTTCCCCCCCCGTGTTCCCTTCCCCCCCTGCTCTGCTGTCCGTTTGATCGTCTGCCCAGTGTTTTTCTGCGGGTAGTCGTGCCTTTTGCAGAACCAAATCTTACTCAATGGGCACCACGAGAGTCTGCAGAAGAACCCCACTGCGTGTCCGCCGAAATGGTACAATAATATTGCCTACAAGCCTTCGTACTGCCACACACGATTGGACTTCCAGTGGAGCCAAGAAGCTCGCCAACCATCCACTCACACAAGTTGTAGCCGTCGGAAAATCCAGCCAAACTCAAGGCATTTAGTGCATGCTGCACACATACGGAGATGGCGTGTTATGCGTGTTGAACATACACACGCGTGACGAAAATGTATGCTGTTAACTGCTGTTGCATTCTACAGGGAAACGGGAGAGTATTGACGGCAATACCTCGTAACGGTTGGAGGGTACTGCTTTACCCAAGAACTGCCACATCGGGCGATCGTTTCTGCTCGCTTCGAACTCATCAAGGCCGAAAACACAACCAAAATAGAAACAGGTATGCATACCTACTACATGTACAAGTATGTTCCCCGAAACGCGACAGAGATCGTCAGCATCCATCCCCTCCACACGAGCAGAGGAAAAATTGAAAAAGAAACGTGTTCCACCGCAAGGACCAACTTCGAAGCTTAGAAGGGCCACGAGAGCGCCAGGAAAGCAGCTGTTGTACCAGACACGAAGATGGTAATGCGTTCTTTTTTACCTGTTGAAGGACCCTTCTCTCGAGTTACAATCAAGTCAATCTCTCTTGGCTACAGTCTTCGTCCGCGAGGTCGATAACGAACGTTTGACGATGATGAGCGCTCCTCGAACTGGGGGAGGGGGGGGGCAGCAACCGTACTACGGTAGGAACCCAAGCACGCCACCCTGGACAGCAGTTAATTTACTAGTTATCCAGCAACAACGCCTTGCCCTTCTCGAACGTCAAGAAGGACTGCACGCTAACCCGCGTCCCCATGGGGAAACCTTGGGCAGCGTGCGGCCGCTGGACGCACAGAAGAACCAGGTCCCCCGGCGCCACCTTGATCACCCGGGGGGGGGGCAGCTTTCTCCGCAGCAACGCCTGCCCCTCCTCTCCCTGCACGGTCAGATGCGACAGCGTCTCCGCGTGGCGGAAGAAGTCCCAGCGAGACCGCACCGCCAACGGCCACACCGCGAGCTCGCCTCCCGTGGGTGGGACCTTCAAGTAAACGTTGGCGCTGAAGGTTCCCCTGCTCTCGACCATGGGCGCGAGCTCGTCGACGTGCATGAAACCTTCGACGTACCTGGTGGGGCCCCGCATGACCCTCGCCACCCCGGCTAGGAAAGCCTTCCCCGCCTCGTTTTTCCTCACGCTCGCGCCCTCCGGCCACACCTCGTCCAGCTCAAGCCGGAGCTTGTCTAACGGCCCTAGCAGGGGTGACTGATGCTGCTGTTGTCCGGCCTCACCTCCGTTATCTCGCCACCATCGCATGTTGGACAGAGCGCCGTCGAAGTAGGCTGGTATTTGTGGTATTATTGCGTTGATGGGTGGGCGCATGGAAAAGAAATGGGGGTCGGGTGAGCGGGGCCAACGATTCACGCTCTCCCATATGCCTGTGGTTCATCCACGGACCTCGTTTAGTTGCAGCAGTTCTTTGAAGTTCCACCGGCGGCATTGATTTTATTAGCCTCGATTTCGGCTCTCTCTACATAGTTACATAGCATGTGCCACACGGCGACCGGCAGCTCTCGTCTGTCCTGCGGTCTTGGTTGCTACTAGAACAGTACAGCAGTACACGCTGAACGGAATCCCGGCCTTTGAAACACACAAGCATAATAGAGAGGGGCTACAAAAACTCATGAAGCATACGAAATTTGGTCGACGTGCATTCATACGCTGACAACTACCGCGTGTGGCACAGGGTCGCATCTCCCTAGCGTCTCTCGAAGAAGTTTAGGTTCCTTCCTTTCATGTTGCCTGATTTTAGTGGCGAATTTCCCAGGATCGATTCTGCCTCCTGCCCACAAATGGTTGGGGAGGGACAACCAAAAACATAACAACACCTTCCTTCTCGAAAGTATGGAATTTCTCGTCACGCGGCGGAAGGACGTGGTGCACCCGTCGAAACCTCTCAAAAGATCTCAAAAGATCGCGAAGAATTAGAACTGATACTATTCGGCTACTTGTATCCACCCCTAATAGAAGCCTCCTTTCCGCCTTATTTTCCGCCTTCTTGCACACAAGAACAAGGGGGTAACGTGGAGATATAGTATAGTAGATTAACTTCAGAAAGGGTCACACCTACTACTGTACAACATCTCTCTCTGTCCAGGACTACAGCAGCAAAGTCACCGCCCGCACATGTTTTAAGAACCTCTAACTGTCGCCGAGGCTGAGTTTCTTACAGTGCCTAGTGCTACTGTATGCTACACATGGCCACTCAAAAGGTTTTACAGCAGTAACGTTGGGTTTTTCAACCGAGCTCACAAATGGTGCTCAGGTTCTAGATTTTGAGTTTTTCGAGGCAATATAAATTTCTTATTATAGCTGACTGCCAAGTTCTTAAGCGCGGGCGCTAACAGTCAGTAGTAGTGAATCACGCATCATTTTGCACATCAAATTTGTATCATGAAGGTACAGTATCACGCTTTGGAGAAAGTACGGAGTATTGTGTCTTTGTGGCAGATTCATCAGCTACAGCAGTATACGAGCGCATCTGCCGAGAAGAAGATGGCATGCGCTCCAGCACTGTGCAACAGAGATACAGCAGATGGGTGCAGAGTAGCTTGCGAGTTATCTAAACCACAGATAGATGCAAGCCGCAGCAGCAGTCGGCACCGAACAATTACAACGTCGGCAACCGCCACAGCAGCAGTAGAGCCGCCGGTCTATTCCTGTCAGTATGTATGTATGTCTCTAGATGACGGGAAGAAAACAGTGCCGGCCCGCTCGTAGGCAACACCTTCGTCAGAAACCGAGGCTCAGAATTTTGAAAATATAAGAAAAAAGTGCCGAAGAAATTGAGCTCATTTGATCGTTGAGTGATAAAGAAATGGACTAATAAGAAATAGCACGATTTCGACTTCCTAGACACAAGAAACAGAGGAATCATGGCTGGCCGCAGGAATTAAGGAACGGCCTCCGCGCGCATACAACGGGCGGGGGGGCTATCATATCGCCACAAGTAAGCGTCGACGGACCCCCCTGGATGCGACGCCGCTTCGCCAAAACTTTTGTTCTTCATGCACAAGGAAGGCACTGCCTCTTTCAGACACCTCCATCGGTAACCTCGAGAGGTTGTCGAGCTATCTTTGTTGATGTCGGCTACATAAAAGAGAGCAGTCACACAGATAGAAGCACGTTAGGGTTAACAAGCCCATCGACGACACGTTCTGGTCGCATGTGGAGTGCAAAGCTTCGTGTGGAAAAGGAAATGGCGTTGATAACAAATTATGCAATTTGCATGGTGAAAACAAAAGGATAGCGAAAATAAGAAATTGTGCAATAATTCTCATCGAGAAAAAAAGAAACGATGACATAAGAAATCCAGCTCACTAAGGTCGGTGGTGGTATGACCCGTGGTTCCGTTTGGAGCCACGGCCTCCGCTCGTGTCGGAGCTGTCTGACGCCCCATTGCGTCCGCGGTGTTTGGCTTTCGACCCCTGCTTACCGCGTGTCGTGCGGTTGCCACCGGAGCTGGAGGAGTGACGACTTTTGTTGGCCTTGCGTGCGGGAAATTGGCCTTGGAACGGCTGTAGGGCCGGCTTGCGAGAGTAGTCGATTGTAGTGTCCGAGCGGTTGCGGTAGGCTCCTGCGGCAGTGTCGACGAAGGCAGTGAGGGCATTGGCTACCGCGATGGTGGCGGTGGTGGAGATGCCGTTGTCCTTGCTGTGATCGACATAGGACCAGAGGTGTGAGCGGCTTTTTGAACTCGGTCCCGGTGTGGGTTGCTGAAGATGCTCTGGTACGTGCAGGCGATCACGACCAGCGGGGTCGAGTGGTACCATGCTGTGGAGTCTTCGAGCCTACGGCGCGTGGCGGCGGCGTACGTGGGCTTAACGCCCGTGACCTCCAGATTTCTTGGATGGGATGGGCCAGCGGGGGAAGGCGGGGTGGGTGAAGAGACGGCGGTTTTGCGCATTCCGCTCTTGATGCGACGCCTGTTTGAGCTCTGTGATGTGGTATAGTTGTTGCATGGGTTGTCCCTCTCCGAGATGGCTTCTAATTCCTCCGACTCCGCAAGGTCAAGGGCTTGTTGTTGTTCACGCTGCTGGCCCTCCAAGCCATCTCGGAGAGGGACAACCCATCCGACGACTTCACCACATCACAGAGCTCAAACAGGCGTCGCATCAAGAGCGGAATGCGCAAAACCGCCGTCTCTTCACCCACCCCGCCTCCCCCCGCTGGCCCATCGTCGCCATTCCCAAGAAATCTGGAGGGCTTCGCATCACCGTCAATTACCAGAAAGTCAACCGCATCAGCAGCTTCAGCCAACTACCTGTTCCTCTTGTGGATGAGATCATCAACAAACTGCCCCAGGGCTCAATCTTCTCGCTCTTCGACTTCACGGGCTCCTTCCACCAAATTCCCGTGCCCCCCGACACAATTCCGCCTACTGCATTCGCCACACCTACTCGCCTCTTCGAGTGGCTCAAAATGCCAATGGGTGCCAGTCAATCTTCCGGCTGGTGGATGAAGGTCATCAATGAGGTCATCCAAAACTTAGAAGGTGTCGACGTTACCTCGACGATGTGTTACTCTACGACAAAACACCGGCGGATCACGTACGCACCATGCGAGCCTTCTTGCAACGGCTGCGCAAGCACAAGCTCAAGCTTTCCCCGCCCAAGGCCACCATCGGCACGACACACTCTTCATTCTTGGAACACACCACTACTCTCTACGACATCAGGTCCAACGCCAACAAAGTCGCTGCACTCGCGGCTATGCCAATGCCAACCGACATCAAGAAACTTCGCTCCCTCCTCGGCGGTCTGAGCTACTACCGCAGCTTCGTCAAAAACTTGTCTAAGAGAGCCCTGTCACGATCCTCCTCAAGAAAAACCCGTCCTTCACCTTCACCTCCGACATGGAAGCCATCGTACGAGAGATCCTCAATTCTCCGAACCGCCAATTCTCGTCTTCCCCGACAGGAAAGCCATCGAAGACGGCACCAGACCTCTCCGCCTCCACTGCGACGCAAGCCTCGACGGTCTGGGCGCGACACTACGGTAGCTCTGCCCCTGATTTTATCATCGGACGCTTTCCGCACTTCTTTGCTCTGCCTTCATAGCCACTGTCAGCCTACGCTGCTTGCCCCAGTTTCCCCTTGTTTCAATTCTGCCCTTTTGCTAGCCGAGAGCTTAGCTATCTTGAATTCCACGTAGAGGTGTGGGAGAGGTTTGTGACGCTCCGTATTCTCGAGTCTAGAGTTGATGCTTTCCCCCTCTTCAGGTTCTAACCTCTGCGTTTATGTCCCCTCAAGGTGGGCTAGTGTTACGGTATTTGGACCCTTGGGCTAAGATACCATCTGGGCGGGTATATATTTCAGGAATATCCCGACCAACTGCCCAGATTCATATTATTTAATCTTCTGACTTCGGGTAGACAACGGTTAGTAGCAACAAGCGATGTGCAAGCGTTCCCTCTTGCTCATTGCTGCCTGGGAATGAGCGATAGCGAGCGACTGAGAGAGAAAGGAAGGATAAGGAAGGAAACAGACTGAAGAAGCGAAGCGGCTCCAACCTGCACACAGGTCGAACTACTGTAGCTCTACTCTTAACCCGCGTAAGAGATCATCACACCTCGTCACAGCGGCAATAAGATTTGAGCCTCAGCTGGAATATTGTACGTGTTTCTTACGAGCGGGCCGGCATTGTACACCAACGACATGCGAGATTAACCTTTACCCTGTGAATACTGCTGTAGGCTACAGATTAGGGAGCTGGTGTATCTACAGTAGTGCTGATCATTGATGATTCATGCATTGGAGAGAGTCGATTGCTGCTGGGGGCTCCGCAGTTGAGGAGACTGATCATCATTGCATTTGGCTCACTCAGCGGGTGATAGAAAAAGGCAAACCGTATCTGAATCACCGCTAGATGTCACAACCTAACACCTCCTTAACCCGTCATCACCGTTGCTTCCACGCACGAGAAACACACACGCTGTAGTACCACTGACCAACGGTAACTGTGAATAACCCCCCCCCCGGTCTCACCTGCGACAGATTCGGGCCCCTCGCTGGCAGCCACGTTGAAGGGCTTGCCGACGCTCAAAACATCGCTTGACTCTAGCCCTCTCGGTGAGGACACCTTCCAGTTCTGCGTCGACTGACCCTCTAGTCTAGCGGCCGCGCTAGCAGCAGCCTGGGCCGGATAGAATCCCGGTACGTGGACGGCGCATACTCGGTGAGCGAAGAGGTCTGCAAGATCGCCCTGGTTGAGGAAAGAGCGTGTAATGACCTTGACGGAAGGCTCTTCGAACAGGTCCTTGATGCACCCAAACCGCCGCTCGAGCTCCCTAGCGAATAGAGCAACACCATCTCGCCTCTCCGACGTTGCCAGAAGCCCACCTAGCTCCCTTGCGCGCTTCATCTCCGTCTGTCTGACTGCACTCTGCGCTTTTCCGCCATCTTGTTCGTTGTTGTTCGTGCAGGCATCACCCGCATCTGCAAGCCTTCCAACCTTTTGAGACCTGACCGCCCGCGACTGCTCGGCTGCTCCTGCTGACGCCGGACATCGGGTTTTTGAGCCAGCTACTAAGCTAAGGGGCGCCAAAGCCGGGGCGCACCAGGTGGATGTCGAGTGCTCCTGCTGTTCCAGCTGGCGTCAGACATAGAGTGAGTGTTCCAATGGACACTCGGTAAGGCGCACTGCAGCTGTAAGCAAGCCTCTTTCCCCCCGCAACGCACATGTACACAGCGAAACTTGACTGTTGAGTGTCACAGCAGTATCACCCACTTGCCGTTGAACCTGTACAGCAGTGTACAGCAGTGTTAGTGTTACTGGGGAATGCTGAATGCTGAGTAGTAGCACGTATGTGGCGAAACACTCTCACCCTACACTACAGCAGCACTACTGTAACATGTGGTCGAAGGTCCAAGGTCAATGCTCTTGACCGCAATCACTTCTTCTCCGCGTGCAAATGCCTCAGAGTGCGCAACACCAGACACAGCACTCGTATCATCATGTGACTTTGTAACAAGCAGCAGTGGAAGTTCTGGCTGCAGCGCCAAGCAGGCCGACTGCTGTTGGGTATTGGTGTAGACTATCTATGCAGCGTTGTCCAATAACATATGCCAATAGTGTCGAGCATGTACTCAACGGTATTGGGCCCCTCGAACCGTTACAGTAATGGCGTAAGCGCGGCATGTGCAACCGAAGCGCGGAGCCTTCGCACTTCACTTCGCACAGATCTCGATGCCAAATCTGCTCAAGGGTCTCGAGTATATATGCTGGTAAAGACCGTGGGCATTCGGGGCAGGCGTGGTGCTTGCTGTATATACCCGTTGCTACATTGCAGGTGGACGTGTCTTACCCCACCAGTAAGTAGTATTGTAGCAGTAGACCCATGTATTCTGCGAACGTTTGGGGATGGTGGTGCGATGTAAGCGTTTCTCGAACGAACTCTGCGATATCTATGCATCCACCATATGCTGTCCCCTCCTTGCTATCTCGCCAGTACGCCCCTCAACCGACTCGCGCGCACTTGTAGCTGTGACGTCACGTGACGACTGATTGGTTGCCGGGTGTGAAGGGACTGAGTGTTCGGGAAACTCACACGATACAGAGTCTCGCGCAGCACGCGCGATCCACAATCAGACTGAGGACCGCAGCCAAAATTTGATGGTAGTCATGATTGCAGGTACCCTGATCGAAGAATAACCTAATAATAGCAATCGCCTTCCTCATTCGTTGGACATTGGTCATTGGATGGTATTAAACAGGCGGGCGCCGCACCCTCCACAGCTGGCCGGGGGCCGCCGCCATCTACCCCAGCTAGCAGAGCCCGAAATGACCAACCGAAGCAGAGGAAGGTGAGCAAAAATAACGTTTCCCTCAAAAAATGCTTCCGAGATATGCATACACACACAAACGAAGTCGGCTACATCTACTGATGCCGCGTGCCATTTCCCTCCCCTTTTAATCCTTTTAATGAACGTTCTCGTGTTGTGAAGGTGGTACAGTCCCGCTGTGGACTAGGCTATGTACGTCCTCCAGGCCGAAAACTCTTTTTCATTCACGTCCTTGCATTAGAATGAGAAGGGAGCAGAGTAATAGTGCCACGGGGATTTCGTTTATTTTTCAGCAACGTCGCTGCCCTATCCCTGGCCTGGGAGAATGTCTGGACCGTTATTTTCGAGATTTGAAGGCACCCCCTGGTTGTATCTTTAGGGGCATTACGGCACTACTGTTGAGCTTGAGGTCTCTGGCTGCTGTTGCCATCGACGTACTGTACTGCAATGTAACTGCCGTTGCAAAGGGAGGGCAATTTTTGGTTTGTCGGGCTGTTTCTCCCCCGCCGTGGAGGACCTGTGCCCGATTCTGCTGTTTGCTCAAAACATCCAATGGTTCTTATCCACATCGTATGCATATGGCCATTTGTTGGTCGGTTGTGCAGACCGATTCCATACCATACCTTGGTTGATTTTCCATCTGCGTTTCGATGCTTGGCTCTTTTTGCTCCCTCTTGTCCCGCAGGTGTTTTTGGTCTATTGGGCAGTCTGCTTCGCGACGGCCATAACGTGGCTGTTTGCCGTGGCCGCAGCATCAGACGATGCGTGGCTACAGTTCGAAGGGTATCCTTTGCTCAAGCTTGGAGAGCGCTGCGAATTCTCTGCGTCGTTCTGCGATTATTGTGAGTGTGGTATGCGTTGTGGTGACTCGTAAGCTCTACTGACACTATTTCTAATACGATCGATGAGTGTCAGTAAATTATGTCTACATGTCTATATGCGATACGGCCATATTCGCCGTCCCAATTATCACCCCCACGATGGAACAGCGATATATACCGCTGTGGAAAGATCAGACATGAGAAATTCGAAAAAGGGAATCGTCCTCGACAGACGTTGGGAAGTTGTAGCGTACCCTTTATGAGTGCGATCTCTGCAGAGAGGTGTATGGTGCATTTTATGTGTTTTGCCGCAGCTTGCCCTATCCCTAGCCCTTGCCTCCCGTTTTGTACACTTTTATGCTTCACCCATCTTCAACTTGTCACGCTCTACAGCCGTGTCTAGTATCTCTCTGGCGCCATCCTCTTTGGTTCATGGATATGATAGAGCACAGGAATCATGCATGTGACTATCCCTGAGTTTTGACTCATCTTCATCTTTGTCTTGTTTAACTATCTCTTGTCCTTGCCCACGCACCCTTTGGCCTGTCTGACCCCCCCCCCTCCCCGCCGGACCGCCGTGAATCATGCCAATCTCATCCCAACCTCAGACAAGACGGGGACGGCGTTCCAGTTTTTCGCTGCCATCGTCATCAGCGCCACCGTTGTCGTGATGATCGTGGCGGCTTTCAAGCCAGCTCCCGCCACGGGAAGGCTTGGGGCAGCAGCCGGGACGATGCTGCTAGTGTTTTCTGTGCTCCAGCTCGCGGCCTTCTCCATCATGGCTGCTTCTGCCGGGAGACGTGAGTACGCTATTAATAGATTAATAGTACATGAGAGAATATGAGGTGTTCCGTGGCACAGTTTTCTTGAATCGCGTCCTCGTCAGTATATGTAGCCTCGTAGCCTCCTCCGCAAGTCACACGCGAGGCCGGAATTTTGTCGCAATATCGTTAGCCATGCCGTGCAGTTTTACGCCGTGTGTCTCTTGGCAACAGTAGTAATGGCCACAGCTTGTTCATCTCCGACCTTTGCTCTAGACTGCATCTCGTCCTTGATAATACCCGCGTGTGCCCCAGACGGAACTGCTGTCCGTCTCTCTCTCTTGTTCCTCTTGACGCCCCCCCCCGTGCTTGCTGTGACTCCCGCTCCGATGGCAGTAAATCGTGACAACGACAACTACTTCCAGATCAAAGCGGGGCCTACCATTGGCGTCGCCGTGATTGCTTGGGTCTTCGGTCTGGCAGGAGGCAGTGCGATCCTGCTCCTACGCCCTCACGCAACTCCCGGGCAGGACGGACCATTGAGGAGGTTTTCGCGTCGGGAGGGGGTTCGTAGCGCACCGCGCCCGCGAGCGCCGTCCTCCCCTTCCGGCGTAACAATCTAACTTGGTTCTTGTCACGCGTGGCTAAATGACAGTGGGGAGGGCAGGCGGTTTTTTTTTGTCGTATGCATACGGTACCCTAGGAAGGGATGAAGTAGACGGCGAATGCTAGGTGGAGGCTGGATTGTTCTCGCTGCTCTCTCCCGTTTTTCTTCTGCAATTCTTCAGCAGGTAGGTCACTATTGCAATAAGTTATTGAGGAAGGAAGTTGGTCTCTACAACAGCTGTTGTTTGTTTTGCCCTCTGAAGACCGTCCCCTTTTATCAGAGGATACGACTGGCGTACCTCTTTGATGCAAAATATATTTACTTGCTTAATGGATAGACTGAATGGGGGGGGGGGGGGGGTAGAGAACTACCCCAACGGATGCCCGGTCGTGGTGCTCCTTAACGATGCAATGTTCTGCCAGGTTGTGTGGTGGCGTAGTCGAGAGCGGCATGGGTAGGCTTGGTCTTGTCAGATTGAACGCCACCAACAATACTAAAAGCGGTGCAGCCAGCACTGACCTGTGGGGCATGGCTAATTAACGGTTTCTTTCTTCGCTGTAGTTTTCGTTGAGTGTACAAGGAAGAGGGCGGCGTCCTCTTTTTGTTTTTGTAGCACCAGATTGATTCCGTTTACGGCAGTACCATGCGTGTATAGAGAGTTGATTGTTTGGTTTTCTGCCGGACCAGGGAGTGATGACATGAGTGTCTTGTATATATCAGTGTAATCTCCTCTTACACGGTAGAATGCGCCAGCAAAAGCCGAACAAGGCCGATTAAGGATACGAATCCTCGCGCTTGTCTTGTTGCTCAGATGTTGGCAGTCGCCTTACCTAAGAGGTAATATCCATGCCGTGCGAACGCCGCACTAGCAATGGTGCTAGATGCTGTCGATGGCATGCTTTTTCCTCTGTGTTGTGCACGCTCAAACGCAACGCTTGCTGGGTACTACTGCTGCACGGACACAGACAGCGGACGGTGTATGTATTTCGCGTGCTCTTTTCGGAGTTGAGGTATATACATCCGGTGGCATAACAGGGGGGGGGGGGGGGGGGGGGGGGGGGGGGGGGAGAGGAAAAAGGGGGGGGA